AACATTCCCCTTCGGCTTCTGTATCATCCTCAAAACCTTTTTCACTTGAAGACTTGAGCCTAAATCGAGACCCTCTTCATGGGGTCTCAGATGATAGCTTATTTGAAGTAGAAGATGCTGACACAGATGGTGAAAAATGGGAAGAAGAGACGGAGTACGGGCCCGCATATACTCCATTTGTGCCGATAATGGCAGACTTAGTGAGCCAATATCCTCCACAATATTTTCCACATATCTAATCTTACATCACAAATTGACCATCCATACCTAACATGGAAAACATTCAGCCAAGTTATGAATAGGTTTATTGAAAAATCGGGATGTCTTTCATTTTATGTCTACCTACTGACATCTCAATGCCTTTTTTGGGTTTACTCTTTTATTAAAATTGAAAGGAGCTTACTTTATTTATTATTTGGCGTTGACAGTTAAGTGCGCATAGATTGTCTTTTTTCTATTTCACAACTTTGCCTATTTAGGCCTCTTCCTGACTCTTAGATTCAAATTTGCTACAATATTACGTTGCATGTAGCTCAATCATAGAGATTACAATGACTTTGCAAGAGACACAACAAAAATCAGGAAAAAAACAATTATCTTTAGTGTCCGTTTAGTACTCCTTGCTTTCAAAATTACTCGACTCTCATCATCTCCATTCTTCTGTCTGTTCATGATTCTTCTTTCATCCTAAGCCTTTGTCTTAGGATTTTGGCCGATATTGAGGTTGCTTTCTTCACTTTCATTTTCATATTCTAATTGACTTTTAAAACACGTATCAATTAAATAACAGCTTCGTTGGCTCTTATGTGAAATGGATCTATGAGCAGTTTCAGTTTAGGTTCTAGAATGTGTATATGACACTCATTTAATATTAGCAAAGCTATGAAAAAGTTTAAATGTGCCTCCTCGTTTCTTGGCTTATTGGTCCCTCTTCGAGGATTTTAGTAATCCATGTCGACGTCGGTATCTTAGGCATATATTATGGTAGATTCTCCAGCAATGCTTGCATCAGCATTATCATGAAAAATATTACCTTTGCTATAGAATTAGGAAGCTTATTTTCCATGTGCATTAATGTTTCCTTCTGCTTGCCTCATCCGATTCACCAGGAGCCGGATCACTCCATCTGGTCGGTATACGCGAGTGATGAGGCTGATATACCTGCTGAAATTCACCCTGATCCCTCGGCATCATCAGCAGTGAAGTTGGTACCGAGCGATGCGAACCGGCATCTGCGAGTTAAACGAGCTCAGACTTCTGCAGATCCCGATTGTAGTCTCAACATCACAAGCCCAGGCAACCCCGAGGGACCGGCCAGCAAGTTAGTAGACGATGGCAAATCAGGCATGAAGCAATCTTCAAAATGTGCCTTGTCAAAGGGCAATTACACGCTCAATCGAGAATCTAGTACTGATGTGATTAGTGTTGGTGAGACTGCTCGAATCGGCAACGGTTCGTCTTCCAGTCGCCTTGAACCAGATGGTGGTTTCAATGCTTCGTCTAAGGCTTTGATGGGAGGTAGAGACGCCGTGACGCCAGATGGAACTGGAAAGGTTAGAACTTGTCTACCGACTCCATTGTTCTCTATCTGTCCATCTTACCTGCCCTATCACCCCTAGTAAATAAACA